GAAAAAGTTTTCTTCTCTAAATCATTCCATTTGTTCATTGGATTAGAAGACTTTTGAAAATCACTTTCAATAATATTTCATAAATTTAAATCCATAAAAAGTAAGAAAACTCTCATTCGAGTTTTTCAATAAGTGTAGTCAGTCCTATTGAACATATGATGACAAATGATAGAGTGACCCTCTATATTATAAAAAAAAAGTCATCTCTCTTGGGTGTTAAACCAATGGAGAGAAACGAGGCTTTGATACCAACTGTCAAGACCGAAATCAACACTAAGAGGGGGCGGAGGGGGGAGGGATTAGTTCTTTCATAAAACTTTCGACGATTTAAAAATATCATTTGATAAGCCCATATCGGAAAGATGTTTAAACATAGAGTGCAAGCAAAAGCAGTAGACAGTTAAATCAATTAGCAACAAAAGTAAATAGCAAGGAAAAGATCACAACAAATTTATAGTGGTTCGGTCATCGTGACTTACGTCCACTCCAGATTCCTCTTCTATTGAGGCCATTGGTTTTCACTGATGATCTTTTTTTAATAGGTGAAGATCAACTATCCTCTTACAACTCTTTTCTCCTTTTGACAAGCTCAAGAGAGAACCTTTACACTCCCTTTTTACAAGGTAACCCTCACATATTTCCTTAGATCAACTTCTAAGCTCAAGGAGGAGGGAACTCAATATTTTGATAGAGTTTTCTCAGTTTTTTCCTTAAGAATTCTTGCTTCTTTCTTGTTGCCTAAGTAGGGTATTTATAGGCCCCAAATGGTTTAAAAAATGGAGCCAAAAATTTAAAATTTCAAGTCTTCCAAGTATTGGGTGGTATCACTACTTCTCAGTTTGACACTAGGTGGTACCATCGCTTAACACACTTATACTAAGCGGTACCACCACCTTACAGCCTTAGAGACTGAGCTTTTAACTTTTATAGCTCATAGGCGATTCCACCGCTAGTTTGGCAGTGCCACTGCTTGACCCAAATTTTGGGTCACTAAATGAGCTTCCCAATGAGCCTAAATCGATCCCAATTTAGGCCCAATTGGCTCATAATTGAGTTAACATGATTCACCAAAAACTAACTCAATTAGCCCTAACTAACTCGATCTAGACACACACGATTATAAGCATGAATCTTATGTTGTCTAGCATGTCATTGGTTCGTCCGACGCTTCGTTTGATCCATCGACACATCATCCTCTCTTTCAGTGTATTGCCCAATTGGTATGTTAACTCCTGCAACTTCCAATCTTCTTTGCGTAATGTCCGATCCTTCGACCCGAAACCTGAACTCATGGCACGAAGTCCTTCCGACTCAATGTCTAATCTTCTGATATGTTCTACTCCGACCCAATGTCTAATTCTTCTTGCTTTAATCAAATTACCTTTTCGTAATCGAGATTAATCCTGCATCACTCAAATGCACATCAAATCATAATTTCATCAAATGATTTCATCATCAAAATTCGAGATTCAATAAGACCCTCTTGATTACCGGTAAAAGCCATTTCTCTTTTGTGTTAAACCAAATGAGAAAAACCTTAACTCTGATACCAACTGTTAGGACCGAAATCGACACTAAGAGAGGGGTGAATTAGTGCTTTTAGGAAAATGAGGTCGATTCGGAAAACTTTAATGATTTGAAAAAGCTTGATTCGATGAAATCGTATCGAAAATGATATCGAAGTGTGCTTGACTTAGAGTAAATGTATTAAACAATTAAAGCAGAAAAATAATAGTAATGAAGAGCAGAAAGAAGATGCACACCAAATTTATAGTGGTTCGGTCGTCGTGACCTATGTCTACTCTCGATTCCTCCTCCGTTGAGGCTACTGGCGTCCACTAATGGTCTTCTTTCAATGGGCGAAGACTAACTACCATCTTATAAACCTTTTCTCATTTTCACAGGTTTAGGAGACAACCTTTACAATTCACTCACCCTTCTCTCAAATTGAATTCAAAACTTAGAGTTAGAGAAAGGAAACTTTTAGGAATTACAATAGTATTTCATACTAATTTTCGTTCAAGATGATTTGTATACTGAGCAGGGATGAGTGGAGTATTTATAGACCCTAAATGACTTCAAAAATGGAGCAAAAAAATATCTCATCTTGGGTTCTCGAGGTACTAGAGGTACCACCGTCATTACTCTCTGACATTGGGCGGCACCATTGCCCAATCTAGGTGGTACCATAGCTAGTCTAGGTGGTACGATTGCTTGACAAAGCCTCGGAGATTAGACTCTGGTGGTATCACCTCTTGATAGGGCGGTACCATTGCCTGACAATATTAACTGTCGACGGTACCATCGCCCAGACTACCTTGGAGGCCGAGCCTCAAGTGATTCCACCACTTGATGTGGCATTAGGTCACTGAATGGGCTATCCATTTGACCCAAATCAGCCCTGATTCGGACTCAATTAGCCCCTAATTGAGTTAGTAGGATTTCTCCCAAAACTAACTCAAATTGAAACCCTAACTATGATAATTAAAGCTAAACAATTATAATGCAACAATCATAGTTGTCCGACACGTCAATTGTTCATCCGAACTCCCGACGAAACTTCCGACGCACTCTCGGCAATCTTCCGGCGAACTCCCTACGAGCTTTCGACACATCATCCAAACCTTTGGCGTATCTCCCGATTCTTCCAACCTGATACCTGATCTTTGATTTCGGCCCAATATTCGATTCTTCTTTAATTATTTTATCTTTTCACGATCATAGTTAGTCCTACGTCATTTTTCTCAACACATGGATTAGATCATTAATTCATCAATTGATTTCATCATCAAAAACTTTGATACGAGACAAAATCATCCCTATCAAAACCTTTTACACTCATTCTCATCTAAGCACTTCAGGGTTTTTTATCCGGTCCTTTTTCATTTATAGGTATTGCTGCATTATTTTGTTAAAATTATTGTGTATTAAGCATGGAAAACTGCTGCAATTTATATGGTATACAGTTTGTTGTTACCACCCCATAATTTTCTACCCGGGAAGGGGGATGATAGAAGATTTCTTTTTATCATAGACGGTCTAAATGCTAGGCTGCCAGCGTTGGTGTCGCAGAAGAAGTTTGATCTAGGTATGCAAATTAATAGGCAGTGGTATTTTCATCTATTAATTTCTTGATTCCCCACCTTGGTTCTACTGCAGAAGGTGCAAGCTTTAATCTAGAAGAAATCTCAAGCAGAAGAGCTTAAATTAATATCATCAAAATCAATGAGCTTAGAGCTAACAAGTTTGATCTAGAGGTTATTCATGCAACCAATCTAGATACTCATTCTTGTTAATCGATGCTTGGATTCATGTTGAGTTTATTAATTGAATTAGTGATTTAGCTTCTTCATTAACTTTGATACTTGTGAATGTTATGGCTTCCATTATATTCAGTTCAATACATAGTGTGCATTCTAGTACTAAGCTGTTTCTGTTACATAGCATCCATGCTATGTAACATATGGTAACTACTTGGTAAAAATTCATTCCCTCAGGTTCTAAATATGTCTTTGAAGAACAAGTTTACTCTTCTGTTACCAATCTTCTGTCTTCATGAGATTTAGCACTCTATGAGCTGTAGTTCCTTTGTCTTGATCAATAATATGTATTCTTAGTTGCCAATGCCAAATGACCTGAGAAGAAGTTGGGGACTGGTAGTATGTTGAGATTACCCTGTATGTTACACAAGCTTCTCTTGGAATGGGTAGCCTTTTAAGGTTGATCTTTTAGTAGATTATCACGTTTTACTTAGTTGTAACTTAAAGCTTTGCATTTTGTCATTAATTTTTTTTCTGGTGTGATTCCAGAATTCTTTCTGGACTATTTGCATAGTCTTCCAAGTTATTTTTCTCATTAACGAGTACAATTATAGGATCTTACAGTGCAAAGTAGAAGACTTGTTCCAAGAGGATGTCATGGTGCTGCTGCTGCTGCAAGAGGGCATTTTAATTGGGATCATCACTTGAGCACCTACCTGTTCTTGGATTACCAGATCAGGGAATCCCTCATCCTTTTGATGACAAACGCACGCTCTACTTCAATGATCCATAAAGGTACATTTTCTCTTTCTTTATTGACGAGTCCAGCTTTCAATTGGAAAGGAATCAAAGTTCACAGGCCCACGTCTTTGTATCTTATATTTTAACTCGACTCGACAGAGTGAACACGCCGTCATGTTAATGCACATCTAATTGAAACTATGTTTCTATTTTAGAGAATTAAGTCGATCCTGAACCACACACGAGCTCGAGTTCAAATTGATCACCAACATCGAATCTGATGTGGGATGGTGTCCTGTTGATGGGACACAAACAAGATAGTGATTGACTATGAACTGCCCACATCTTTACATGACCCCACGCATCGATCTATGGCTTTGGGTCATATATGGTTGTGACCCCCGTGATTTCCACCGTACCATGGTGGTACAAATCCCCCGACAGTGGATCAACCTACAAGAATCTTCTAATTATGCTACTAAATGCCAAAAACTAACAAAAAGGACAAATTCTGTAGAAGATGAGAACACCTCCACCTCTGCATTTTTATGGTAGGTGTCATCATCGGTGGGATGGCAAAGAACCGAGGAGAACTCGCACCATCAAGTTGCGGTGCGTGGGTCGTGGACCCGACAGGTGACTACATGATGGTGCCACCGGAGCCGACGTGTCGACTGGAAGCCTGCGACGCGATACGATCAAGCGACGCCGGCCGTCGGATGGATTTTATGATGCACGCCATCCTGCACGCCACGTGGTTAGAGAGAGAGAGACTCGTGGCCTGGTCTACAGTAGTCTTGCCACTTCTGCGTCGTGCCTGTGGAGCCGACGTGTCGCGTGGAACGACGCTGGGCGATACGATCGAGCGACGCCGGCCTTCTGATGCACGCCATCCTGACGCGCCACGTTGACGGAGAGAGAGAGAGAGAGATCTTGAGAAAGCCGACGAACCGGGCGAGGAATTGGCCCCAACGGTGCAGGGGCGGCGGTCAACTCGCGTTATTCTCGGCGCACGTCAGTTCAACGGCGCGGTGACCGGCAACAGCCGGTACGTGAGAGGGGAGCCACATCGCGAATGTTTCGATCAAGACACTTTATAGCCGATCATCAACGAAGACCTTGTCCCGAGCGACGGACGCACTCTTTCTCGCTTCGAGGAGTATTTGGTGCCTCGATCCAGGTAAAAACCCTCCCTTTCTTCATGGATTCCTTGGCCGTCTTGTGATAGATTTCGTCTTTTGCTGGTGTTATCTTCGTTCCCTGATTTCAGCTAGTCGTCGATTCCTCTATTCTACTCTTTTCAATTTCAGGGATCTAATCGCTTTTTCTATTGTTTCGAAATCTATGGATGCCGTTTCGTGTTCCCTTGAGATGTTAGCTTTACCGCTCTCACCTTTCTTGTTTCTGCTGTTGGTATGAAACTTGTTATGAGAGTAGCATTGACTTGTCATATGGATCTTCGTGGCAGACTTGGTCTCGGTCAGAATAGCAGTGGTATCTGAAGTTGTTTTGGTGAAATCTGCTACGGAGGGTGATGAGAGTTTGGTTGCCATGGGTACCGGAATTCGAGATTTCCGGGCAGTGATTAACGAATTCAATCATGACCACCTCTTCCCCGATCCGATCACTGCCGAAGGCTTCAAGCTCGGAGCGCCGCCGGCGATGACTGCCTCAAATCATACTGGCTTATTCGACCTCCAGAGTATTCCCGCTGTACATACCCTTGATTCCACATCTGATTCGAGTGCTGTGTTCGGTACTGGCATGGATGGCGGATTTAGTTATGGTCTCTTCACCGAGGAGAATGCCTTGAGTAGCTTAGACCTAGGAGAACCACAGCCCTTTTCGAATCTCCCGGATGTTCATCCTGGGTTTTCACCTTCGGTTTCCACCCCAAACTCCAACCTTGTGCCATCTTTGAGTGTAAGCACGAAGGTCGATGTCTTGGAAGACTCTGAGATCTTCTCTGACATTGTCCTCAACTATATTGAGCGGATGCTCATGGAGGAGAACATTGATGAGAAATTTGATGTATATCCAGAACACCCTGCTCTCAGAGTTGCAGAGAAACCCTTCTATGAGATCTTAGGTGAGAAGTTCCGACATTCAGCTGATCAGCCATCATCGTGTTCCAGCCATTTCTCGGATAACCCCAATGACCTTAACCACCATGGGAGTTCCAGTGTCAATATCGGTGGCAGCATGGTTGCCGGCAACAGCTGGCCATATGATCCTATCGAGTACTCTCAGCTACAAGCTCATCCTGTCGTTGACGACTCTTCACAGTCTTCATTTTCTTCAACAAATATTTTTGGTAATATCGTAGTAGGGGTTGAGGAGTCTCTTCTAAGCACACTTACGGCTCCTGATTTCGTTACTGAAAGCCAACCTGCTTGGCAATTCCAGAGGGGAGTTGAGGAGGCACGCAAATTCCTTCCAAGTGCTGATAGGTTGGTAGTCAACTTGGAAGCTGATGGTTTCTCCTTACTTCAAGGGACAAAAGAACAAAGGGGATTGGTTGAGGTCAAAGAAGAGGCTGAAGACAAAGAACAGCCGGTTCATCCAGCGAGGGGTCGGAAGAATCCACATGGGGAGGATTTGGATACAGAGGGAAGGAGCAATAAACAGTCAGCGGTTTTCATCGAGGAGACTCTTCGCACAGAAATGTTTGATGATGTTCTGCTATGTAATGGGGAAAATTGTGCAAAGGGTGTCAATGAACTCCGACTGAAATTGCAGAACCAAGCAAGCAAAATTTCCCAAATCTGTCATTCTAAAGGATCAAGTGGTGGGGGAAGGGGTCGAGGGAAGAACCAGTCAAAGAGGGAGGTGGTGGATTTTGAAACTCTCCTCATTCAATGTGCTCAAGCTGTGGCGACAGATGATCATCCAAGTACAAATGAATTGTTGAAACAAATCAGACAGCACTCTTCTCCTCATGGAGATGCGAACCAGAGGTTAGCCCATTGGTTTGCCGATGGCCTCCAGGCTCGCCTTGTGGGTACAGGAAGTCAGGTCTACCATTCCCTGGCTGCATACCGGATTCCTGTTACTGACATTCTAAAAGCTTACCAGCTTTATCTGGCTGCTTGCCCTTTCAGAAAGATCTCTCACTTCTTCTCTACCCAGACCATTGTAAATGTGGTGGAGAAGGCAACGCGGTTGCACATTATAGATTTTGGCATATACTATGGTTTCCAGTGGCCAGATCTCATGCAACGTCTTTCTAATAGGCCTGGTGGGCCTCCGAAGCTTCGCATGACCGGTATCGATGTACCTGTGCACGGATTCCGTCCGACGGAGCTGATTCATGAAACAGGGCACCGGTTAGCTGATTATGCACGCAGTTTCAACATCCCTTTCGAGTTTCGGGCAATCGCTGCTAAGTGGGAGACCATTCGAGTAGAGGATCTCAACATCGATAAAGATGAGGTGTTGGTGGTCAACTGTTTATACAGGTTTAGGAATCTGATGGATGAGACGGTGCTAGTGGATAGTCCAAGGGATGCAGTCCTGAAAACCGTAAGAAAGATCAACCCAAATGTGTTCATTCATGGTGTCCTTAATGGCACGTACGGTGCTCCATTCTTCCTCACACGTTTTCGGGAAGCTCTGTTCCACTTTTCTTGTATGTTTGACATGATTGAGATGACCGTGCCACGTGAGGATGAACCCAGACAGCTGATCGAAAAGGTAATGTTCGGCCGTGAGGCTCTCAATGTCATCTCTTGCGAGGGTACAGAAAGGGTGGAGAGGCCGGAGACCTACAAGCGGTGGCATGCAAGGAACCTGAGGGCCGGGTTCACTCAGCTTCCATTGAACCCTGACATCGTGAAGAAAGCAAAGAACAAGGTGAAATCCTGCTACCACAAGGATTTTGTTGTTGTCGAAGATAGCCAATGGCTGCTACAGGGGTGGAAGGGGAGGATCATTTATGCACTATCCACATGGAAATCGAATAGATAGTAGAAACCAAGAGTCGTTTCTTCTGATCCCAGGGCTAACTAATATCGGTCGTTCATTCATTATAAGGTGATTTTTGCTGCAAGAGTTGCAGTTCACACTTTCATCATTCTTTTTATGCCCATGAAAACTTGGACATCTCTGTGCATGTCAAACATGGTTTGTTTTCAGTTGATAAGTCACCTGACTTGAAAGGGGAAAATGGTCAAATCACGAGTAGGGTAAAATGTTAGGAGCAGTGCAAGTGTTCATTTCTTAATTTTGCAGGTACGGTTGGGGATATGTTTGTTTGGTGAAACTTATCAGTATCTTTACTCGAAGCAAGTCTCATCTGTGAATTGCCTAAAGAATTTTGTGCCCTGTGATGGTAAATGAGTCTTTTTTATTTTTCCCCCCCCAAAAAAAGAAAGAAACTTTGATTAATTCAGATATGAAACTACACTGAGATCAGCAACCAGAAAAAAGTTAAAATGGTGCTCTGAGATGATTTGACCCTATTTGCCAATCCATTTCTCTCACGAAAAATATAAAAAAGAGATCAAAATTGTACAAGTGAAAGAGCATTCAAAAAAATAGATGAATAGCATTATCAATCACAGTGGAACTCACATAGGTAGTATAAATGCTTGAGGACAAATATCAAGATTGGCTAAATGATCAGTAGTGGGCAGTTTAGGCAACAAGAGTTTCCAGCAGAAACATAAGGGGAAGGACCTTGCAAAAACGTTTTCAATTAACAAATGTATAATAAGCATGAACAATGAAGGCATTCACCAGAATCACACAAGAAAAGCTTAAGTTGATTTAATTAATTGTTGCCCATGTGATAACATCTCCAAATTCATCTATCCTCATTGGGGTGATAAAGATAAAACTAGATCCTTAATAGCTGGAATAACAACAGAAGCAAGGCATTGAGCAACAATGTCCATATGCCAAGAACCATCACTGAAGAATTGACATAAACATATATAATCATTTAAAACAGTAAAATCCACATAACAAGCAGATTTAAACACAATAGGGATCTCGAAAAGTCAACAATCCTTTATTAATGAATTATCATTCCGATAAGAGTAACCCAGATAGATGTTACATTACCTTAGTAAAGGATTTTCAACACTAATCAATGTTTTTGATAGTATTGATGGTCCTAGGGGGGATCTGGACAATTCTTAACTAAATGATATAGGTCTCATTAAGATATTAAAAGACTATTTTGATTTGATAAGCAAACTTAACAATGCGAAGAATATGAGTTCAAAGACCCTCATTAATCTTACGGTGAAGCCCTTTAGCATTAGGCTCCTTTTGTTATAAAAAAATCATGGACAATCCTTTTAATAGATTTGATAACGGATTTAGACATTCAAGTATTAGATAGCATATAAACGGGTTTAACTAAGAGAATAAAATTTTTTAGAGTAAAACTTGAGATAAGTGAAAAGATTGCCTAACTGCTGAGCTTTTGCTAGATTCGTTGAATATTGGGTTTAAAGACAACTAAGGTATACATTTAGGAGCTATAAGAGTATCAAGGTACTTAAAAAGGAAAAAGGAAAATTCTCCTAATATGCTTTGAAAAGAAGATTTTAATTTTTAAGCTATTAATCTTTTGATTGAACATCATCTCATATTTCTTAAAAATCCTAAGAATTGTGGCACACAGTTTCCTATTTGTTCTAAAGCAAAGCAAAATATAATCTATGTTCATGAGATGCGGAACTTTAAAAGAGTGTTTGAAATAGAATGGGTAAAAAGTTACAAGAAGGATGTATAAGGGGACAAAGGATCCCCTTGTCTACTACCTCTATTATTTTTAAACGAATTAGATACCTCACCATTTACATAACATGAAAAGATAAGAGAAGATATGCATAAATTAATCCAAGCAATAAAAATAGAAGCTAAATGCCTTGAAAGCATTAGGAATAACCTTCCAAAAAAAGGTTATCATAGGTTTTTTCTAAGTCAATTTTCATTATTACCCAATGATTCTTACCTTTGGAATCATGAAATGGATAATCTCCTATATCACAAGGATATTATATTGAAACCTTCTATCTAGTAAGAAGGTTAATTATTCTTTAGAGATAATTTTTGAAAGATAAGGCTTGATTCTATTAACTAGGATTTTGTCCAAGATATATTAATTTAACCTAATGATTCTTGTCTTTGGAATCAAATATGGAATGAGTAATCTCTTAACCATAAGGATATTATCTTGAATCCCTATACCCGATAAGAAAACTAATTATTCTTTGAAGATGATTTTTGAAAAATAAAGCTTAATTTTGTTAGCTAGGATTTTATCCAAGATATAGTAATTTATGTTATACAAATAATCAAAAATCCTTAAGAAGATGGGTTGTGACATTTTGGAATAAACAATATAAGAAACCTAAAGAATAGAATTAGTCCAAGATAGTCCTGAGTTGGTCAGCAATAGTCTCCCAACTACTATGATAGAACTCAATTGTATAGCTATTCGGGCCAGGACTCTTACCATAACATAAAGACTTGACTGCATCCTACACCTTTCTTATAAAAAAGACATCATAAGAGAAAGGCTCTCCTGAGTTAAAAGACTATTTATGTTAAGCCGAACTAAGGAGTAACATCACTATTTGAAGGTTAGTTGCAAAGCATATAGTATTGATTGACAAAAATCTATAAAATATCAATTTGAAAGGTAAAGGAGTGATCATTATGTTTTATTAGTTGGATACAATTAAGACAAATATAGATGGTGATAGAACTATGGTAGAACTTAAATGTTACGATCTCCATCTGCAATCCACTTAATCTTGGCCTAAATCATCATTTCAAGTTAAGCTACCTAAGAACAATTTGAAAATGGTATTTTACGCTAGTACCAACTCCTCTTAGTTTGAAAATGGTATTTTATGCTAGTATCAACACCGCTAGTCGAAATAACATATGGGATTTTTTTTTTGTCCCTTATTGGTTTTCTTAATTAATCATAATTTTTAATAGGAGATTTTAATTGATTTCATCATCAAAATATCGAGATGGGATAAAATCATCAATTGATTTCATCATCAAAGTCAATTTTCATTATTACCTAATAATTCTTACCTTTGGAATCAAACATGAAATGGATAATCTCCTATATCATGAGGATATTATCTTGAAACCTTCTATCCAGTAAGAAGGTTAATTATTCCTTAGAGATAATTTTTGAAAGATAAGACTTGATTCTATTAACTAGGATTTTGTCCAAGATATATTAATTTAACTTAATGATTCTTGTCTTTGGAATCAAATATGGAATGAGTAATCTCTTAGCCATAACGATATTATCTTGAATCTCTATACCCGGTAAGAAAACTAATTATTCTTTGAAGATGATTTTTGAAAGATAAAACTTAATTTTGTTAGCTAGGATTTTATCCAAGATATAGTAATTTACGTTACACAAATAGATAAGTCGAAAATCCTTATGGAGACGGGTTGTGACATTTTGGAATAAACACAGTATGGGTCTTGATCTAATTATGATATAAGAAACCTAAAGAATAGAATTAGGCTAAGATAGTCAAGCAATAGTCTCCCAACTACTATGATAGAACTCAATTGTATAGCTATTCGGGCCGGGACTCTTACCATAACCTAAAGACTTGACCGCATCCTACACCTCCTTTCTTAGAAAAAAGGCAGAAAGGCTCTCATGAGTTAAAAGACTATTTATGTTAAGCCGAACTAAAGAGTAACATCACTATTTGAAGGTTAGTTGCAAAGCATATAGTATTGATCGACAAAAATCTATAAAATATCAATTTGAAAGGTAAAGGACTGATCATTATTTTTTATTAGTTGGATACAATTAAGACAAATATAGATGGTGATAGAACTATGGTAGAACTTAATGTTATGATCCCCATATGCAATCCACTTAATCTTGGCCTAAATCATCATTTCAAGTTAAGCTACCTAAGAACAATTTGAAAATGATATTTTAAGCTAGTACCAACTCCTCTTAGTTTGTAAATGATATTTTATGCTAGTATCAACACCTCTGGTGGAAATAACATATGAGATTTTTTTTTGTCCCTTATTGGTTTTCTTAATCAATCATGATTTTTAATAGGAGATTTTAATTGCATTAATGAACTTGTGACTAATACGTGGGTTCCCCCTTTTTAGTAACACTTTTTGTCCATTCATTTAGGAATTTTATTGCTAACAATGGCCTTATGGACGGATTTGAGGGTTCCAGGTTTATATGGTCAAATAAACATAAAGAGTTTATGAAAGTTTTTATCTGACTTAATCATGTCGAGGGTGTTCTACTTGCGTGAAAAATATCCACTATGGTTTGCTAGTATTTCCAACAGTGGTACTACCTATAAATCGATGGTAATACCACTCAAACTTTAAAATTTTATAGATTTGAATTTTTGACGATATTCTTGAAGTCTTTTGGGGACTATAAATACCCCACTTAGGCTTGGTTGATGAGGCATCTATTCTTTGGTAAAAAAGTATTATAAACTCTCATTTTAAGTATAATTTGAGTCCCTTTCACCTCTTGACTTTGGTTATCATTGTCAAAGGTAGGAGATCTTGTGTAAAAAGATAATGTGAAGATTATCTTCTCAACCTAAAAAGGAGAAAGTTATAACAATGGTAGTTGATTTTCATTCATTAGAAAGAAGATCAATAGTGAAAGCCAGTGGCCTCGAGGGAAGAAAAATCGGGAGTGGACGTAGGTCAGGAAGACCAAACCATCATAAACCAATTTGCCTTTTTTTACTTACCATTTACTTGTAATTTAATTTTATTCTCTTTACTTGTAACTTTAACTTGATCAATCGAGTTTTAGAAACGTATTGATTTATCGATCGAGTTTTAAAATTGATTTAAAATGTTATTACACTAATTTACTCCTTCTCTTAGTATCATTAAGATCATAACAATTGATATCAGAGTAAGGTTCTCTCGTTTGGATTAACATCCAAGAGAGAATAAATGATATTTTCAAGCAATCAAGAGGGATATTCTAACACACGTCATCCCATATTCAATGGGATTAATTACACCTATTAGAAAATATGAATTAAGATTTTTTTACTTTATATGGATTTTGATTTATAGAATATTATTGAGTTTGACTTTTAAAAAACTTTTAAACCAATGGAAAAATAAAATGATTTTGAAAGAGAATAA